TTAACCAGTGGAAATAGGACCAATGACAGGAATTTGAGGGAACTTTGTATTGTATACCTTTTATATAGTTTCTGGCATTTGAACCATATGACAAACCATTAACTATTTAAAATTAAATTATAAGACTTTTGGGGAGTGGAGCACCAGCAGATTTAGAGACTGTTCATTTCATCAACTTTTTAAACCTCCATTCCATTCTTTTAGTCCCTAGGGCTAAACTCCTCCCCCCTTTCTCTTTATCTCTGATTGGCATGAGTTTCAACTCACAAGAAATATGCATTAAGTATGCTTAAAGTACAGGGAACAGTGCTAGGTATTGGGGTCCCCAAGGTACAGAGCTGAACAGGACATAGTCCCTTGAAGTGGTCCAGGGGAATTTTTATCACTCTTTTTAGTAGCTAGGACAAGAATAAAAAATGTTCTCTCCTTTTCCTCTTCTCCCTCCCTTCTTATAATCTTGCAAAATGCTGGAAATTCCTACTTAATTCTCCTCCCCCTCACCTGGAGAGCACTAAGGCTCAAGAACTTTCCATCAGGTCCAGACTGGAAGACCTCAGGCCAGGGCCAAGACTCAACTTGCTTCCCTTGGGCCCCTGGCGCCTTGTGAAGGTTCTTGGACCTCTCAGATGCTGCTGTGACTGTGGTTTCCGGCTTCCTGAGTTCTCACACTCAGCTGGGTGCTGCAGATATCATGCCCCAGTTCCTGCTCTGGAGACTGACAGGCTCAAGCTTGGTGATGCTCTGAGTATATGGGGTCTGTTCAGTATGAGTCACAGCTAAGGGGCTTGATTTCTATTTTAGTTTTCCCCTTTACTCTAGACAGACTCATTGTAAATACCTTGGGGTTGCATAAGGACAGAGTGTAAAGGTTTGCTAGCTAGAGGCTGAGAAAGATTAGTTTTCTCTAATTGAATATCCTATCTCACTTAAGGCCTTTAGTTCTGCTTCTCTTTAGTCAAGGACATTTTGAATACTCCAGGTGATGACGAATCTAGGAAGGAAGCAATCAGAAAATCATTTATATAGAGCTTTGCAGTTTATAATACATTTTCTCATATGCTATTTAACCTAAATGTGACAATTTAAGAAGAAAAGTAATGAAGAGTAATGAAGAGTAATGAAGAGATGCTTACGGAGTGAGAGGACTTTCCGTGTAGCTACTGAATGCCTCTTGTGCTGCTGTATACTTTGGGTGTATGCACAATTTTGTTGTGGAGCTGTCATTTTACAGGCTGAAGTCGGGGTTCTAAATTGGTTAGATACTTAGCAGGAGAGATTCTACTCTGTGGAATTGAGGCTGCTTTACATTCATTCACTTATTCACTAATTACAACTATTAGTTGAATGCCTATTTTGTATGAAGAAAGGATCTAAGAAATAATTGGGAGGTTGAGACCAACTACTAGTGAGATGCTGAAGAGGTTCTTAAGGCCCAAAGATGGATGCTGCCAGGGAGGCAGTGGTAAGACCAGGCTTTTGATCAGAATTTGGCAAATGGAGTTCTGTGACTAGCAGCCAGTGAACATCCAGTTTAGAAGAAGCTGGCAAACCAGGTTTTGCAGGAATCAGAAAGAGTTTAACTCTCAAGATACTTTATTCATATCTGCATCAAGTTATTTTTGCCTGGCCAGCATCAGTTCTCCCCTCCCTCCCCAATTTGCGGGAATATCCTTAGGGGCAGATTGGCCTCTCCTCTTTCCCTGGCAGCTTGAACTAATTCATGTGACCTGAGATTGACCAATCAACAGCGGCTCTTGGCCAAGATTTTTTTTTTTTTTTTTTT